GCAGATATTAAAAGAATGACAAAGTAATATTATGAACATTATGCAAATAAATTTGACAATTCAGATGAAGTGGGTAAAATTCCTTGAAGGAGAGAAATTACAAAAGCTCAATGAAGAAAGAACAAATAAGCTAAAAAGCCCTAGATCTTAAAAACCAAAAGTCCTATTTAAAGACCTCACGACAAAGAAAATTCCAGTCCCAATGGTTACACTGCTGAATTCTACCAAATATTTTAGGAAAATTTAATACCAATTCTACACAAATTCTCCTCAAAAAGCGAAGAGGAAGAAATACGTCCTCATTCTATAAAACTGACATTACCCTGAATCCAAAACCAGACAAAGATATTACAAGAAAGAAAACTAGTGTCATGAAAATGGAGGTAAAAATTCTAAACAAATCAATAGCGAAATAAATCCAACAATACAGGATAACTCATCGTGACCAAGTCGGGTGTATCCCAAGAATGCAGGGCTGTTTTAACACGTAAAACTCAATGTTATTCATCATAGTAACAAACTAAAAAAGAAACCATATGATCATGTCAGTGGATAAAAAGAGGCACTTGCCAAACCTCAACATCTATTCCTGATAAAAACTTCCAGCAAACTAGGAACCAAGGGAACGTCTTCACTATGACAAAGATCTGTGCTAAGCCTACAGCTGACACCATACGCAACGGTGAAAAACGGAATGCTTTTCCCAGAAGGTGAGGAACCGGACAGGAGTGGCTTCTCTTACTCCTTCTAATCAGCACTGTACTGGAGCCAGTGCGATCAGGCAAAATAAAGAACCAAAAGGCATCTGGATGGGAAATGAAGAGGTAAAAGTGTCTGCTAATCAGCGGGAAATATGATTACATGGTCCGAGTCAGCTAACTCCAACCTGTGGGCTGGGTTGCTTGCTTTGGTAAATAAACTTTTACTGAAATACGACCACGTCCATTAACTTGTGTATTGTCTATGGCTACTCTTGTTGCAATGCTGACAGAGCTGATTAGCTGTGACAGAGAATGTATTTATTTATTGGCTGCAAGTCTTAAGTGTGAACTGTCTTTAGTAAGACAGTAGTTTAAAGAAGAAAAAGCTTGACCACCTCTGGTTATGTAGAAAATCTGAGAGAATCCATAAAAAGGCTACTAGAACTAACAAATGGGTTCAGCCAGGTTGGAGGGCACAGAGTCAGCATACAGAAATCAACTGTATTTCCATCATCAGAAACTGAAATTTAAAATACGTTATTTTAAAACAAATAAATGAAAATATACAACTTACAACCTCACTGAAAAATAAGAAATACAGGTAAACTCATAAAAGACGGAAAGACCCAGACACTAAAAACTCTAAAATATTACTGAGAAAATCAAGGAAGACCTATGTAAACGGAGAAGTAAACTTTGTTCGGGGTTAAAAATTCCGTATT